CACACCATATGACGTTTTGTTCAGCTTAGCTAATCTCTTTGTTAACTAAAAACAGCTAGCTTCTACTTAGCATGTAAATTGCCACATGGCAGCAATGATATTTAAGAATTAAAAAGTAAAATTTGTAAAAAACTGTTTAATTTTTATGTAAATAATGTCACACCATAAGACACAAAACATTGACCACTAATGAGCACATCAGTGAAGGAGCTTTTTAATTAAAAATTAAAAAGTCAGAACTCACCTCTTCACCTTCCAAACCACTCCAGAGAGGACACTGCAGCTTCCTGGTTGAGTGTGGACCTCTTCATCATAATGATGTCCAAATTATTGGCCGTTCAAAATACAGATTGTAATGTCACACCACATGACGCCCATTTTATGGACAAAATGTATTTAGCCAGAACTTGCTTTAAAATCATGCACAGACATCTTTTAATGGACCCTTTCTGTGTCCATTAAAAATGCCTAATTCTGTTACTTAAACTGTAAATCTATCAATTATTTATACTTTGCTGAGATATATTGTCATATTAGTAAGGTCACACATAGTCCGGACAGTCACACCATATGACAATTTTGATGTTTAGATAAACATTTGAAGTAGAGGTATTTATACACCAGTAAAGCTATGGTATGTTGTAATAATATCTTGTCAGAGGAACAACATAAAGATACACATTTTTAACAAATACCCATTTTTATTAGTATATGACATCATGGACAGGTAGAACTGCATGTCATGTCATCCACCCATGAGTAGACTATCTGCTCTTACGACCATATTAGTGCTGATTCGGTTGGAGGAATGGGTTTGCAAGTAGCATCAGTCAAACTAAACTGTGTTTACTCCGCTCCTGCCTTGCTTTGTCATCATCACCAGCTCTGTCGCCTATAATTCTTTTATGAAATGTGGCATTGACGAGGACAGGCCGGAAATGGAAGGGACCAAAGTACCGGCCCTGCGGGACACCGTATGCATGGCCTCTCATTTTCTAAGCCGCGTGGACTTCGGCTCCAGTAAAGATAACACACTAGAGGAGTGGAATTCTTTTTTTTTTATATAATGCTGATGGCTGGACAAATATCTCTCCTCATAATTTTAGTGCTGAAGCACGTCGTTAGGAATAATACATGCACCAGCACATTGTCACATGTTAATACTCTCTCAACAATAACAATGTCTTTAGTACCCAAACAATACACATCTCTGATTTACTGATGTTCTGCGACATTTTCAATCTCTGCTTCTTTTGAAGGGAATATAAAAGACCGATTGATCTGCAAGAGTGTAAGTGGATCTGTACAGCTTGTCGGCCTGATTATGTGTGTGACTGTCTGTTTAGACAGACTTTTTCACAGTAGTTTGACAAGAAACAAATTGTAGTTTTAATTTCTGTTGGTATTAATTATAGTCTTTGAAATTGCTTTTGTCTGCTGCATTTTACTGTCCTAAGACCCATTCAGAGGGGGCTGTATGGTTGTTCTCTAGTTTGATTGTGTTGGCTGTGGAGTTGTTCTTTACTGGAGGCTGATGGGACTTAAACAGTCAGCCAACAATGGGCATTTTTCAGATCATCTTATCTTATGTATGATGTCTTAGAATGATGCTCCGATCACTTATGATTTAACCCTCACTGAGTTAACTGGAACCCACCGCTACAAGCAAGTGTGACCTTCACGCCCTTTCGGCCACTACATGCTCTTTTTGGTTTAGCTGGCGTCCATCTCTTAGATGATCTTTCTTACACCCACCAGCCAGACCCCCTGCATCCTCTTTCACTCCTCTACTCATTATGTAGGCAAGTGGGCCATGTATGAGGGCAAGTCCAGGCATATCCTCATCTATTAGTGACTGTGTTCTGATACCAAGGGTAGGATGAAGTCCTCAAGCCTGCAAGCTACATGCTAGCCCAGCTTTGGCTTGATGGACTGTATTATGTCTTATACAAACATGGTCATGGGTGTGATTGTATCTCACTTCTGATTGGTGGATGCTGGAACATCTGCTTTTGCCGTCTGTTGGATGATACCTTAGCAGTGGTCCCATTTTTTATTAATTTTTTTCGCAGACGTGCTGTGGGTGTCTGCAAGATTGTAATTCATCCCATTTTATATTTTTGCTTTCAGAAGGCCCCCTCATCTACTATGAACCCTCAATGCCCACTTTTTTAATTCATACAGATCCAGACTTTATAGTGGACAAAGGAGGATTGCAAGGTTTTAGGCTGGCATTTGAGACGGGACGTTGTCTTACTTGAACATGCAAGTAGCCAGTAGTGTAATGCAATTTGCATATGAACATTTTCATTTGGTCTATCAGAAAAGTGTTTCATTTCTATTTTGAATTATAGTTGTCAAATGTATGAATCTGAGCAGTTGTTTGACAAGAAGTGTTTAGAATTGCAGATGGACATGAACAGTTATTAACAGTCTGCTTGAAGTGCTTTTATTTTTATTAGTTGATTTTGTATCAACTATACTAGCCATCTGTTCGCATGTTTGTGATGATTTGTTTGTTGCTGCATTAGTTCATCAGGGGAAAAACACAGGCTGATTTGGCTCTCATCTTTAGCTGTTGTAAATTTCATTTTGTTTTATAGCACTGATAGCATGCCGAACATGGAAAGACAAAGCAATACATGGAATTACACAGCTGGGACAGATCAAGCAGATGTGGCTCTTGCGCTGGCGGCAACGTATGAGTTTCAGAGAGCTAGGTCATGAAGAGCTAAAGAATAATGAGCACTTCCTTAATTAGACTAATGACTTTCACAATTGGTCATGAACCAGCAAGCATTGCGCCACTTGTCATGTTGGTGACCCAACAAAATAGATGCACTGATTTTTTTTTTCTTTCTTTTGGTCCCAAAAGGTGGAGTCACCACCTGGTTGTGCGTGTATGTGTGTGACACGTGGGTCATAGCTGATCTGTAGCCAGGCAGCTGTCATGGTTATTTGTTAATGATTTATTTTTCCTTGAGAACTCTCAAGTGCTTCTCTGCTAAAATGAATTTTCAAGCCACAAAATGAATTCTCACATCTTTTCTCCTCATTGTAATGTTTTGGAATTTAATATGTAAAGCATTACCATGGGTGGCACTTACAGCAACCTGTTCTTGAGCATAATTACATAATTACCTGCCCTCTATCAGCATGAATGATATAATTACTCCCTCATAGCTTACTAACTGATAACCACATCTGAGGGCCTCAAGAGAAAAAAAAAGTAAATTTTTAGTCTTATTGGATGAATGCAATGAAAATATATCCAGGTTACATTTCATATATGATTTTGATAAGTTCTTGAGCAGTGTAGGTGTAATATTTAACACATAAAATGGAGATGATGTTTCCGTGTTATGTTAGGGGGAGCTGGTCAGTGGTTAAACAAACATAACACTGCCACACCCACAGCATTGCATTGCTCTCCACTTTGTTTTAACTATAGTGGGGGAGTAGAATGACAAATTCATTCTTGACATTTCAGGCTTTTTTTCTAGCTAAGCCAACATACCTCACTTTTGGAGTTTGCTATATTGCAAGTGTCCAATGATTGCTGGCTAATCGTACTGTAGCAAAACCTGTTTTTGAGAGAGTTATACGAGCATGATTCCACTGGTCTTATCACTGATCCAGCATCGACTGGCATGCCAAGGTTCAAACATTGATACCATTTTCTGCTCAGATATTAAGTGTCAGAAATTCAAATAAAATGTTAAAACTCTTACATGTTTTGTGATTTCAAGAATGCTGGCTGTTACATAGAAGCTATTTCACAGAGCAGATTCGCCACAGCGGAATCATTACATTTGGCCCAGACCATGACAGTGACATCTGCAACTGCAATCATGTGTCGCTTGTGATTGCTAGATGTAGTGCCTTGAGAGCTGTTGTCAGCACATTTACCTAGTCTTGCCTCCAAGGTGCTGCTGTTGATCAGGCAGACAGAAGTCTGTGGCTTCTGTAGTGCCTGTCCTTGGCATAGTCGAGTGCCTATATATAAAAAGACAACAAAAATAAAATCTAAATGTATAAATAGTGATTGTAATTTCTTTCCAAAACAAATAGCAGAATAGATATCAAAAAGATAAGTATACTCTTTACCCTTTTCGCTGTATTCTGTAATTATAGCGACGTCCTTTTCTGCATTTGGCAGGCTATTGGGTCTCAGGATTTCAAGAACAGTGTAAGAGCTCCTCTGAGCTCTTGTCATATATTGTCTAGACTAGAGGGTTCTGTTCTTTTTGTAGATTTCCACAGGCCTTGACTTAATTTGTTTTTGTATCCACATGCTTTCACCACTCACTTTATACATCATACATTTCCTGTTATGAATTCGTTTCTGAATTTGATTCACAGTATCACTCTGTTTGAAATGTTAATGGAGTTGTTAATTTTTGTTATAGCAAAAGCCTTTTGAAAATGATTTTTGAGACTCTGGAAAGCAGCCAATGTGCAGTGCTTCCTATTAAGGGCCATTTTGGGTTTCCCTGGTTGCCCAATTAAAACTGTATCTCGGAAGCACTTATCACAGCTTTCATCTGTGTGTATATGTTTGTGTTTGTTTGGGGATTAGAATGTGATGCCTTGTAGGGTTGAATCAATTTTAAAATTTTGGCTTTGGTATGATGCCAGCCTCTAATACCTTGGTATTGATACATTTAGGTTACGCATAAACAACCCTGGGCAACTGATGAAATAAAACAGGGACTGGTGGTGCCAAAATAATCATTATAATAATTCCTTGTGACTTTGCACTTACATAGCCCTTACTGTACTGCAGTAAATTTTAACAGCCAATATAAAGTCATTCATCTTGATCTGAAAGCTTATAGCTTTATAGTCACATTTGGTCAAATTTGAACAAAATTATTTGTCCTCTAATTAGTCTTAGATATTTAATAAATAAAAACGTGATGGATACATTATTATAAGTTCATATTTGTATCTATTTTGTAGTAACTTTCTAATTGTAATGTCTCTTTTATTTCTTGCAGGGTCAGATCCAGGTTGGGCGAACCTGAAAACTACAGTATTTCTGTGTCAGATTGCCCCTGAAGAGAGGAGATGGGCTGGAATAATACCACCTGCAGCACACCCACCTAAGTCCACAGGGACTCCTCTCCCCACCCTCAAACCCATTCCGTTCTTCCACTTCTAAACCTCTGCCAAAATTGTGAATGGCCAAATGACTGTGGATTTAAAATTTGATCATTAAAGGGATCGGATATACTGGCCCTGCATGGAAAAAAAACCCTAAAGTAACGTTCAGGATCTTTAGAAATAACTAATTTGTCAAGCCTGAAAGCATTTTGATGGAACATCAGCCCAGCAGCTTTCAAACTAGAGCTTCTGGGAATGGCAAAATGAGTGCTGTCATACGATGATGATGGCAAAAAAACAAGATGCCCGGGCACCAACCTACAATCTTGTTGTGGTAGGTTTGTCCGGGACTGAAAAGGAAAAGGGGCAATGTGGGGTAGGCAAGTCCTGCCTTTGTAATCGCTTTGTTCGCCCCAGTGCTGATGATTTTTATTTGGACCACACATCTGTTTTAAGCACAAGTGACTTTGGTGGTAGAGTGGTAAACAATGACCACTTCCTGTTTTGGGGCGAGGCGGTACGAATGTTGGAGGAGGGCGCTGAGTGCCGAATGCATGTGGTGGAACAGACCGAGTTCATTGATGACCAAACGTTTCAGCCACATCGAAGTACTGCCTTACAGCCCTATATCAAGCGGGCAGCTTCCACCAAACTAGCCTCTGCTGAGAAGCTTATGTATTTCTGCACAGATCAGCTAGGACTAGAGCAAGACTTTGAGCAGAAGCAAATGCCTGAAGGCAAGCTTTTAGTGGATGGATTCTTACTCTGTGTAGATGTTAGCAGGGGAATGAACCGAAATTTTGATGACCAGATGAAGTTTGTCACCAATCTCTATAACCAGCTAGCTAAGACCAAGAAGCCAGTTGTACTTGCGCTAACCAAGTGTGATGAAGGAGTTGAGCGGTACATCAAAGACTCTCACACCTTTGCCTTGGCCAAGAAGAATTTGCAGGTTGTTGAAACCTCAGCACGCTCTAACGTTAATGTTGACCTTGCCTTTCTTACCTTGGTGCAGTTGATAGATAAGAGTAGAGGGAAGCCCAAGATCATTCCATACTTTGAAGCGCTCAAGCAGCAGAGTCAGCAGATAGCATCCTCTAAGGACCGCTATGAGTGGCTGGTAAGCCGCATTGTGAAGAACCATAATGAAACATGGCCCAACATCAACCGCAGAATGCAGACATCCCCTGAATACAAAGAGTATGTCTTCCTCGAGGGTACTTCCAAGGCCAAGAAACTATTCCAGCAGCATGTGCATAGGCTCAAGCAAGAGCATATAGAAAAGCGGCGTAAAATCTATCTCAGCACACTCCCACAGGCTCTCAATTCCTTGGTTCCAGGTCTGGATGAGATTGATCACCTGAGCTGGTCAGGAGTACAGAAAGTTCTCGAGACTAAGCGGGAATTCTCCCACTGGTTTGTTGTGCTGGATGACACACCTTGGGAAACTACACCACACATTGACAACATGGAGGATGAACGCATTCCACAGGACCTTTTGGAAACCCCTGCAGCAGAGCAAATCTATGAGGCTCACTTAGAACACCTGCGCAATGAGCGAAAGCGGGCAGAAATGCGATGGGAGTTCAAAGAGAAACTTGCGTCTTCGCCGTTTGTTACACCTGGCAAACCCTGGGAGGAAGCTCGTAGCTTCATCATGAATGAGGAGTTCTATCAGTGGCTGGAGGAGCCTGAGTACCTTGATATCTATAACAAACACCAGAAGATTATTATTGACCAAGCCAAGGAGGACTTCCAAGAACTTTTACTGGAGTACTCCGAGTTGTTCTATGAGCTTGAAGTTGATGCTAAGCCCAGTAAAGAAAAAATGGGTGCCATCCAAGAGGTTCTTGGAGAGGAGCAGAGGTTCAAGGTCCTGCAAAAGCTTCAAGCTGAGAGAGATGCCCTAGTGCTCAAGCATATCCATTTTGTCTACCACCCTACTAAGGAAACCTGTCCAAGCAGTCCTCATTGTGTGGATGGCAAAATTGAGCAACTCTTAGCCCTTCGTTTTCCCACTCGATATTCCTTTGATGGGAGCTCAAAATCACAATTTGGTGAGGGAAAGGTAGACAGAATTAATCTTGTGATCCTTGGCAAAGATGGACTTGCAAGAGAGTTAGCTAATGAGATCAGAGCACTGTGCACCAATGATGAACGGTACGTGCTAGATGGAAGGACTTATGAACTGGCTCTTCGACCTATAGAGGGAAATGTGCGCCTTCCAGTGAACTCATTCCATACCCCCACTTTTGCCCCACATGGTTGCCTCTGCCTCTACAACTCAAAGGAATCCTTATCCTATGTTGTTGATAGTATTGAGAAATTACGAGAGTCAACCATAGGTCGAAGGGATACCAATATAGTTCAGTTTCCCTTGTCTCTTCTGTTGGTCACCAAAAGAGGTGTTGGTTCAATTTCTGACATTGGAGGTGAAACGGCACAAAGCCTGATCCAACAAGGTCAACAAGTGGCTGGCAAATTTCAGTGCAGTTATTTAGAGCCTGCTTCTCCAGGTGTGGGCTATGGTCGCAATATAAATGAAAAACATTTAAACCAGATACTCAAAGGTCTGTTAGATACACGAAGACCCTCAGTTAGTCTTGGCAGTAGCTCCCCACCTTTGCTACCTTCATTTGCAGGTTTCAGAGACTCTCAGCAGAGCACAGAGGGTGACTTGCGAATCGTAATGTGTCTGATGTGTGGAGATACTTATGATGTTGACCAGCTTCTTTCACCATTCTTGCTGCCCCAGCACTGTCGGCCCTCTTCCAGTCTGTCCAGTGGAACATCAGTTTTGTTGGATTTATCTATTGGTGGCCAAAGGCAAAGCATTGATCTTGCTGTTCTATCTTACCACTCATCTTTTTCCTTACGTAAAAGCAGATTAGTGCATGGTTACATAGCAGTGTACTCAGCCAAACGGAAGGCTTCCATGGAAACCCTTTGTGCCTTCCTTTGTGAGGTCCAAGATATTATTCCAGTGCAGATGCTTGCTGTTGCAGAGACTCAATCAGAACTTGCAGACTCTGAGGCAGTCCGGGAGCAGCTTGGCCAAGGGGAGGAACTGGCCCATGAAATTGACGCCCGTTTCAGCTCTGTAATCTGTGGACCTGGTGGGGTGGTGGGAGGCTTGCATCGGATAGACCACTTCCAGCCATTCTTTAAGGAGGTAGTGGAGAAGAAAACCATTGTAGAGGCAACATATATGTATGACAACGTTTCAGACAGTGTCACCAATGAAAATGTTTCTTCACCTCGATGTGGCTCCCCAAGCATCACATTGCTGGACTCAGAGGATGACATCGAGCCCTCCCCACCTTATCCCACCCTAAGGGAAGATGGCACTTTGGCCCATGGTGGAGGTTTCAAGCTCCCAGATATGGAGGGTGATGCCTTCTCACTCTTCTCTGACATCACAATTTTTGAAAACAAGCTTAACAACAAAGTCCCACCTCAGGTGCGACCAAAGCCAAATGTCACCTTTGACATTCCCAAACCCTCAAACATCAGTTCATACATGGACCTGAGCCTACATGGACCTAACAGGCGCTCATTACCGTCAGTCACCTGGCCACCAGCAACTGAAGGTGGTTATGATCCATCTGACTATGCTGAGCCCATGGATGCAGTAGCAAAGCCCCGTCCCACAGAGGAGGAAAATATTTATTCTGTACCACATGACAGCACACAAGGCAAGATCATCACTATTCGCAATGCAAACAAGAGCCATTCTAATGGTGCAGGAAATGGATCAGACAGTGAGGCCGATAGCAGTTCATTGGAACGTAGACGGAAACTATCTGCTCTTGGAGTTAAACCTCGGCTGTATCGTGATCGCTCCAAACGTCTTGGAAAGTTCAGCAGCTTCCGCACAAGCTTCATTGGCAGTGATGATGAACTTGGAGGTCTCCCCAAGACTAAAGAGGATGAGCTTGCTGCACAGAAAGGGGACAGTTCCTTGAATGAAGAAGGCGAGGACCCAAAGAGGAGGAATATCTTGAGAAGTCTGCGAAGAAATACCAAGGTAAATTTTGTGGTGTTCTTTTGTTACATATATTCATTGTACTTCAGATCACATTTACACAGGCTAACTTTCTTGAAGATGGTCATAATTTATTTAATTTTTATTGATATATGATTCTGAAGTTTGCCATTAATGCTGTTTTTGTATTAGACTACACGTGTATTTGTTTTAAATTCAGCTGTATTCACATCTGTGTATTGTCAGTGTTGTCGGATGTTGTCAGTGTTTGACAGACTCTTTTGGGTCTGTCAAAAGACAAATGTAGAGGAATGGTGGCATGCCCTTGTTTTTTTCTTCTTGCACTTAGCTTCATCCAGGATTAGGGGAAGTCTTTGACCCATTCTCTAAATGCAAATTACAGTCTTGGAGCAGTAGCCTGATAGGCTGTGTTTTACTTATTTTTCAGAAAGTCGATCCACTGAGAAAAGACCCAGCTGTTTTTTTATTATGTGTCGTGGATGCGCAGACTTTAATCCTTTAGTTTATCTGGATGCCTGTGTGCCAAACTTCGGTCAGGGTTCATTTTTGGTTATGCTGTGGTGTTATGTCCATTTTTAAAAGTGTTCATGTCAGACAAAACAGATTATTATATACAGTGGGTACGGAAAGTATTCAGACCCCCTTCAATTTTTCACTCTTTGTTATATTGCAGCCATTTGCTAAAATCATTTAAGTTAATTTTTTTTCCTCATTAATGTACACACAGCACCCCATATTGACAGAAAAACACAGAATTGGCCAAGAAGGTCTTATATAGACAGGTCCTGTAAGGTCTTATATAGACAGGTGTGTGGCTTTCCTAATCAAGTCCAATCAGTATAATCAAACACAGCTGGACTCAAATGAAGGTGTAGAACCATCTCAAGGATGATCAGAAGAAATGGACAGCACCTGAGTTAAATATATGAGTGTCACAGCAAAGGGTCTGAATACTTAGGACCATGTGATATTTCAGTTTTTCTTTTTTAATAAATCTGCAAAAATGTCAACGATTCTGTGTTTTTCTGTCAATATGGGGTGCTGTGTGTACATTAATGAGGAAAAAAAATTAACTTAAATGATTTTAGCAAATGGCTGCAATATAACAAAGAGTGAAAAATTTAAGGGGGTCTGAATACTTTCCGTACCCACTGTAAGTCTGACTCTTTTGCAAGGCATTTGAGTGCTGTTCACTTGCAGTTGTCTGCTTTTTGCTTAATAGTTGTAAAATCTAAATAATTTTTTGCTGGGAATACTATTATAGCCATTACTCCCATAATACACTGTGTTCAGACGAGCAGAAATTACAGTCACTGCTGTTATCATAGAGCATGTGACAGCCTGAGGGCATATGAAAGGATTGAGCCACCAGTCCTTCTCATTGCACAGCAGTGTCTTTATTACTTTAGTGGGGTTAGAATGAGGCCATTGGGTTAAATCACCTTGCTTGCATCAATTGCCTTATGGGACTGATCCATAAAGCAACCCCCTCAAAAAAGCACACCAGCCCAGTAGCCCCAAGGGTCTATACTGTTTTAAGCTCTGTCCAACAATGACTGTCCCCTTCTGATGTTAAAGGAGTTCGAATAAGTCTTTCCTGTTTCTGCGTACTATCCCATCTGCGCTGAGTGCGCTCTCTCTTTCTCAGTATGTTGGATGGCAAGGCCGGAAATGTTCACTCAACCTTTTTAAAATCTCCTCACCCAACAAGTGGAATGTTTTAAATTCCACCGTCACCTAGTTCCTTTCTACTGCCTCCTTTAACTTTGCACCAGCAACTGGCAAGTGAATGGTTGCATGGTGGAGATACCAGGGGACTGGTTTCAATGTGAAGTTTTCCACCGCTTGCAAATACTTTGTGCATAGATTGTGAGGTTAGTGAGGCATAACATAACCAAACATCGGATTAATTCACACTGTAACACTAGAGTATCCTGTCATGTCTGAAGTTGCAAATGGGTGGAGTAGCAGTTATAAACATGATGAAGCTGGTTTTCTTTGTGCGCCTTGGTCTGGGTTCTGTGTGACCTGCATTGCAGGGTTGAGCGCATTACTTTTGCATAACATTGCCATCCCAGTAATACTCCCTGTGAACTGTAATTGCAGCACAGATTCTTTAACGAGAGCTTGGAGAGGGGAGGGAGGTAATTATGTAAATGTCTATTGAGAGGAGCCAGTGGGGATTTAGGTAAAATCTGAAAATAAGAAATGAGTAGAGCAGTGGGAAATGTAAGGAGAAGCAAAAAGAGAGAGAGCGATAGAAAAAGGGAGGCAAATGTGGCATGGTTCCTGAATGTGTGAAAAGCGGAGCTTTCACCTGCGGATGTACCAGGAAGCCAGCTTGCCTTCTAGCTATAGAGCAGAAAGACTCTGGCCTAATAAGCGTCATAGCTTTTTCTCTTGTCTGGCAGTACTGCAGACACACTAGCCAATGAGCCGTGATGCCCCGCTGCAGAGCATTATGGGAAGGCAGGAGGTGGGGAGGGAGGTCTGAGCAGTGTATCCTCCTGCAGAACTCTAAATGCAAAAGTCAAACCCAATGTACCTTAGCATAAACTGTCAAATTGCTGGAATAATGTGAATGATTTGACCACTTTTTGGGTGGTCTGATGCACAGTATTTGGACTCCGATATGACACTTAAAAATATGAATTTCGTTGCATAAGATGCAAAATATAAAACGAAGTTTCTACAAATGATATTAAACCTTGTCTTAGAATTTATTTCTTTTTTAATCAACTGATATGAAGGGGATTTCAGTGGATTTATGCATTCAGTTCACTAAAGAAGCACTGCATTTAATTATGTTCCAGTAACATTTGACATGTTAAGATGTTAAAATACATTTAATTTTAATATTATAATTATTGTTTGTCAAAACCTGTTGATGTATTTTATATTAAACCTGTTGATATATTGTATGTGCTTAATTGTGGCTCAAACTTAGCTGTTGTTATTGTACCAGCAAATAATGTCTTCGTCTTCTGTCTAGCAGAAAACGCGGCCAAAGGCTCGTCAGTCATCGTTGTCCAAACCTCTGGAAAGTAACTACTTCGGTGTTCCTTTGGCCAACGTTGTCACGCCAGAGCGGCCCATTCCACTCTTCATTGAAAAGTGTATCCGTTACATTGAGGCTACAGGTAAGCAAGCAGCACACCTTCACTTTGGAGTGAAGTATTGAAGTTAGCCAGATGCTGAAATCAAACAGTATGTGACAAGAAGTCTGTAGTGTGAAGATGTCTTGTTATAAAATGTTTTCCAAAGCTGGTGAACTGTTTTCAAACTCAAAACACTGTTGAGTACATACATTTTGTGTACAGTATATGGTGGATGGATACAATTAAATATTATAATATTGGCTACCTGCTTGTAGTAATGGTAACAACTTGTTCTTCTTAGTGTGCCCGCCTCACATGCCATTTGACGCTGGTTTGAATCCCACTCAATCCCATATACACTGGTGCCATGACCATTTACTCCTTCACTCCTCTGCCCTTAAAGGATTAGTTGACCCAAAAATGAAAATGTGTTGAAAATTTACCTTTGGGCCATTAAAATTGTAGATGAGCTTGTTTCTTCATCAGAACAGATTTGGAGAAATTAAGCATTACATCACTTGCTCACCAGTGGATCCTCTGCAGTGAATGGGTGCCGTCAGAATGAGAGTCCAAACAACTGATAAAAACATCACAATAATCCACAAGTAATCCATGCCACTCCAGTCCATCATTTAATGTCTTGTGAAGTGAAAAGCTGAGGGTTTGTGATAAATTAATCATTAAAATGTTTTTAACCATTCAAAATAAGAGTCCTCTGTCTGTAGTATTGCGTTCCCAAGTTAAATCTGAATCAGGAGCGAAATATGCACAGAACAAGCACAGTTTACAAGCGAAAACAGTCCAAGACAGTTCTTAGCAAATGTGTTGGAGGATTTTGATGTGAAAGGACAACAGGGGATGGACTTTTTCACTGGAGGAAGTCTCTGTTTGGATTCTCATTCTGACGGCACCCATTCACTGCAGAGGATCCACTGGTGAACAAGTGATGTAATGCTAAATTGTTCTGATGAAGAAACAAACTCATCTATATCTTGGATAGTCTGAGGGTGAGTAAATTGTAAGCAAATTTTAATTTTTGGGTAAACTCTTCCTTTAAAATGCATGCCAGCAACTGACACTTGAGGCTGAAGTTCAAATCCTACTCAGATCTGTGTCGAACATAAGTTGGTTTGCTAATTGTATCTGAAGTTCTGAAGTTACAAATCCCTCTAAAACCAGCAAACCCAACCAACATGGCCAAGTTGGGAGATCAGCTAACTACCTTAGGACTACCTCATTTAAGATGTTTTTGTCAACAGTGTATAAACTGTACCTAACCTATATGATCATTTGAACATTTTAAATGATCCCACAGAGCTCGGCATGCAAATAAGAGCCTCTCATATTCAGCAGTATGATAATGCAATGCATGAATGCAGCTATGTGCACTTGTTAAGTGTGTATCTACGCAGCTGTGATTTGATTTGGCTCGGTAGCATTAGCGCCATTAGCTTCCAAGGATTAAGCTCATCAACTGAGAGCAAGTGCATTTGCTCCGGCTGGGGTTTTCTGTAATGCTGAGTGTTGGAGAACGCATCAGTATTCCCTGTGGGATGCATCTGTCCATCTGTAGCTCAGATGAAGTCAACCCTGCGCAACCTACTGTATAATGAGCCCGTTAGTCAAATGTTGGCATGTTCACGGATGCAGATCTCAAAATTACGTTGCTTTGTGCGCTTCTGGATTATCACTCAAGTGATTTGACTGGATCCTCACTACTGGATTGCGATTACACACATAAGAATAAAAGAAAACATGAAATTGGTACAATACCTATATATCAACTGTATGTTTTTTTTGTATTACAAACATAGTTGAATAGTATTCATTTCAAATCCCTAAAATAGCACTCAACCCCACCCTTTAGATTAAATGTGTGAACCACTAGGTGGCAGAGCGAAGTCAATGGCTGTGTCATTAATAGTTTTCTTAATTCAGCTCCTGATCTTTGTCCCTCGTTTCCATTTCTTCTTCCCCCCCCACCCTTCTCCCGCCCTTTTTATGTTTCGTTGTGTATGTGTGTAAGCTGCCAAACCCCTTGCGGTAATTTTCTGCCTGATAACTCCCTCATTGAGATCGATATCACATAGCAGAAATGGTGAACAATCTTTCGGGCTCAGCTCTTTTTTTGTGCTCTGTGGGTGGAACTGGATTCTACAACAGCCTACAGCATGATTTGCTGATAGCACCATCAGCGTGAACACTAGAGGATACACATTCACTCGCTCACTTACTCACTCACAGTGCCTTACCCATCAAAACAATACAACCTTATCAGAATTACACTGAATTGCTTTTACAAAGGCTTTTGTAGAAAAATGTCAGTTTGACATATCAAGCATGTTCTGCTAACAGCTGCAGCTAAGATGTGCTTAGTCATAGCGGCTTAGTATTGTACATATGGCAACACTGTGTATCTCAGGGCCTCATAAAAGCTACATTTACCTCTAGCTGTATAAATTAGGGACTGGTCACTGTGGTCATATGAAAACTGCTAGTCGGTTTATAAGGTCAGCTATTTAGTTAGAATATTTTTTTTTCTTATTTTTATAGCTCTTTTATAGCAACATGCCTAATTATGCAAGGTTTACTTAAGACCGACTAGTTGTTCAAACCAATGTTGACTTACAAATTTTCAAAGTACTCTACCGTTCAAAAGTTCGGGGTCAGTATGCTATTTTTTTAACGTTTATGCTGATCAAGGCTTCATTAATTTGTGCATAAATACTGTAAAAACAGTAATATTGTAAAATATTATTGCAATTCAAAATAACTGTTTTCTATCGTAATATATTTTAAAGCGTAATTTATTCCTGTGATGCAAAGTTGAATTTTCAGCATCATTACTCCAATCTTCAGTGTCACATGATCCTTCAGAAATCGTTATAATATGCTGATTTGCTGCTCAAGAATAATTTATTCTTATTATAAATGTTTAAAAACAGTTGTGCAGTTTAATATTTTTGTGTAAACCGCAATAAATATTTTTCAAGGTTATTTGATGAATAGAAAGTTCAAGAGAACTGCATTTGTTTGATAAAGAGCCTTTTTTTTAGCATTGCAAATCTTTTTAATATCACTTCCTTTCAATTTAATGTATCCTTGCTAAGTAAAAGTATACATTTCTATTGACCCAAAACCTTTGGATGGTAGAGCATGTAGCACATATCTAGTCTAAATTACTTAATTCATTAAATAATTTAATCCAAAAACCATCAAAACATTCAGTCGTTCTTTATTCACACACGTATCCTTATGTACTATACTTGAATGAATCTTTTGTGAATGCTTCGGGCCCAATTCATTGTTAAAAGTGACCATCACATTAATCAAAATGACTTCTTTTAAACAGAAGTTTTGTTGCTGGGTGACAAATTCAGTTTATGAACAAACTAGTCAAGTTAAGCTTGTATATTTCTGGAGAAGGGGTTCATGTCATTTTCTCCTATTTCTTTTTGTGTTTGATGGGGCAGAAATGAAAACACAGATTTATATACAGTAGTTTCTATAGGGATCCATTTCCGCCCCTTCCGTTATGCCCTCTGTACCAAAAATACTTGCGTTCCCCTATTGTTCCTCTCATTTCCTGTTCATTCTTCTAGGTAAACCTGTCTCTCGTTTAACTTCTCTTTCCTCTTTATGTCTTCTCTCACTGTCTATCTGTCAGTTCTTTTCTCACTGTAGCAACGGGATGGTATGATAAATGAGCATTGGTTGTTTTAGGGCCATTGGGGTCACACACTCCACATTATTCACTGCTTTTCATAGCAGCAGGACCTGTTCCAGAATCAGTCCAGTGCTGCACAGTATGGGAACAGGAGATACAGTATATAGTCTCAGCCCATAGGCCACCAACTGTAACCCATCAATCAGACCCTATTTTTAATATGAATCAGATAATAGCTCTAGTAGAAACAGCCCTAGTTATTGAGACAGGGAAGGAGGGAACGTGACAGCCGTTGGAGGAGGAGAAATGCTGAATTGGCTGATACTGGCCCCGGAGGATATGCTGAAGATGATGGCAGGAAGTGGCAGGGGTTTGTTTGGACAAGTTGCAGGGTTATCTGTGCATTAGGAGGGCTTTAAGCAAAAAGGTCATGGTGAGTTTCAGTTAGAGAAGCCCATGTGGCTCAAAGTGCTCTGTTTTTTTTAAATGTCTTAACATGACGTTCTCTTGACGCTGCTAATGGACTGGACGTTCATTTTGAAGGCCAATAGATTGAGAGTGATGGACATGAACTGACATGAGAGAAATTATATAATGAACTGGAAATATGGTGACTTCCTTGTATTGTCCTTGACTGTCCTTCAGAGGATGTTTCTCTTTCTCCCTCATGTATTCCTGTGGCTTCTGTTCTGTTTGAACGTTTTTTTTAGGAGTCTTTAGTTTGTGATTAAATTTGGTTTAAGCTATGAATGGATAGTCTTGAGTCCTTTTGTATGATTTGTTAGCTGGAAAGCTCATCTGAATTAAGTTCATTAAGGTTCATTTGAAGAACTTGCTTATAAAATGGGCATCAAAACTATTTTGAAGTACATAGTAGTGTATTCTTGTCTGGTTATTTTACTTATTAATTTACATATCTATAGTTAGTAGGTGTGGAAAGGTTCGCAGAAAAAAAATCGAACCGTACGGTTCTCCACACGCGGTTCGGCACGCGCTAGGACCACGGTTGAACTTAAATCTGACAACGCATCTGTAATATGGTTTGCTATAAATTAGAGGTCGACCGATAGTGGATTTTGCCGATACCGATAGCTAGGTTGGACCACACTGGCCGATACCGATTAATTAACCGATAGTTTTAAAATTGATAAGTTCGGTGTTTAAAAAACGGAGCAAACGGAAAGAGAAAGCGCGACCTATATTATAGCTCTATAAATGAAGCACACAAGACTTTATTCGAGTCACAGAAAGACAAACGTTTTGCTGAAAATGCACAATACACAATTCATTATGTACATTAACAACGATTCGGGACCAATATAATGTAATTTAAAGGAAAACTATGTGAATGGCGGTCTGTGGTGCGGCAGGATTTTCTGTAGGCTGCATTTAAATCCGCGTCTGAAGTTTCCCGCTCTGTTCAGCATGCAGTATCACGTGTCTAAACAAATAGCACGTGCTGTCAGTGATTTCAACCACTAGAGGCCA